ATGGCCGCGCTTCGGGTTTGGCATGAGAAGGAGCACGCGATTTGGGGGCAATTGGTTTGGGGAAACCGAACCGACGCGACGTTATCGCATGCTGACGTCAGGTTTCGCAAATTGGGTTCGGTGAACCCACGAAGCCTCGATCGATGTTCCCCATGCCTGATTTCCCTCGCCCTGCCGGTGAAAAATTGGCCAGCGAACAGCCCCCTGGGGCACAACTCCGATTCCCCAGACTACTTATTCCTCAACCCAATCACCAAACAGCTGATTCGCAGCCGTGATGTCGTCTTCGATGAGACACGCCCCTTCCACTCTGCGACCACAAGCGAGCCTCCTCCACCTCCCCCGACGCTTGTTTGGGCAGACTTCGATGCCCCACCTCCGGCCGCTGCCCCTTCTCCGGGGCCTTCTCCGTCCGGTGTGTCTCACCCGGCCTCCCCAGTATCCTCCGCAGCGGCACCTCCTCCTGCTCCGCCTTCCCCGCGCGTCGAGCCCGGCTCACCAGTCTCCTATCGGAGGCGCCCAGTCCCTCCGGTCCCACCGCAGCCGCCTTCGTCTCCGGTCTCTAGTCGCACTCGTTCCAAGGGACCGGCTCCGCCTCTCGCCTGGGGACCAGCCGCCTTCTCCATCCGGTGTTCGGTCACCCCGCCTCCTCCTGCCGGGGGTGATGTCCCCTCCATCCGTATTCCCCCCCATGCACTTCTGGAGGACAGGCATGAGGAGCTGTTTGACCTTCACGCGGTCTGCCAATTTCTCTCTCACATCTTCCCGGACATTACTGACTGCCCTTCCCTCAACTTCACCGAGAACCCGACCATTCCGACTCCTCGCACAAAAGAGGAAGCTCTCTCGGGGCCTTATAAGAAGGAGTGGAAGGCAGCAATGGATGTGGAGAACGAGGCGTTCATTCGCAACAACAGCTTTGACGATGTTGTTCCCCCTTCCGGTATCAACATCGTCGGCGGAAAATGGATCTTCCGAGTCAAACAACTCCCAGGCAAAGCTCCACTGTTCAAGGCACGATATGTGACGAAGGGTTTCACCCAGAAGGAGTATCTCGACTTCTTCGAAACATTCTCGCCCACGGCCAAGCTCCCGACTGTGCGCGCTCTTCTTGATATAGCCGCTCGCGGCAACTTCGAGATCAAGTCCATGGACGCCTCCTCCGCCTTTCTCCAAGGCCAGCTCAAGGAGGATGTTCACATGGAACGCCCACCGGGGTTTTCTGGCACTTACCCTGCCAACATAGTGTGGAAGCTGAAGCGCCCAGTGTATGGCCTCAAGCAGGCTCCTCGTGAGTGGCACAACAAGGTGAAGGAAGTCCTCCTTGCACTTGACTTCCATCCCTCTGCCTCAGATTTCAGTCTCTTCGTTCGTCACTCCTCCGAGCCCTTCTACATCCTCGTCTACGTCGACGACTTCATTCTAGCCGCCAGAGATCCAGCCGACATGGCAGCTGTCCAGTCTGCTCTCAGCTCCGCCCTTCTCATGAAGGATCTTGGTGACCTCAAGAACTACCTGGGGATGGAGATCACTCGTGACCGCCAGGCTTGCACGATCACCCTCTCCCAGGAGTCCTACATCGACAACCTTCTCAAGCGGTTCGACATGGACTCCAGTAACTCTGTCTCCACTCCACTCCCACTACAGCATCAGCTCACGGCCCCTCCAGTTCCTTCTCCTGACGCCTGCAAGGACCCGTACCCTGAGCTAGTCGGTTCACTCATGTATGCCATGATGTGCACTCGACCAGACTTGGCTTACCCGGTTAGTGTCCTCTCTCGGTATGTGAGAGTACGACCTCGTTACACCACTTGGCCTTTTCTTATTTCCTTCCTTTTTCCTTTCTCTTTTATTCCATCTCATTTGGTTTTCGATTCTTTTCCATTAACCTTTGGTTTATCCTGCTATTATAATTATATCACCGACCAGGCTTGGGATGTATTGGTGCGCTCTATCTAGCGTAATCCTGCTGTAATCCCTTAAAGCCAATAGCCTCGCGTGGCTATACGCAGGGTGATTCTATCTTCTAGAAGGGTCTATTCCCTTAGGATAAGATAAACTTGGTTACCTGATGTACTCTGGAAGTATAAAAGCGCCTTGTACTGATCGATAGTGCGACCTTTCCTCGACACATTCGATCCTGTGACACTTGGTAATCAGAGCTTTTCTCACTCGACCGCGCTCAGCTAAGCAGCAGCAGCGGGGATCCTGCCTCGAAAAACCGCTGGGGGCGACCAATTCGACGCCGACTCTGATAAGCACCAGCTCCGCGATTTTCGAATTACCCCCTCCGTGCGTGTTTTGAACAAAATGGCAACCTTCGACAACACCGAGGTTACCCAGCAGCTCTTCGCGCGCATCGCAGCCCTTCAGGAGGAAATGCGAGCGGATCGCGAAGCATGGCGAAACGAGTTCGAGCGAGTAACTCGACTCGCTGGAGCGCAGCACGAGACGAGAACGGCGACGACGCAGCAGTCGCAGCAGTTTCTCGAGGCTCCGAAACCGCGCCCACCTGAGCCGTTCGATCCGAGCGATCGAAACTCCGACGCCCGCAGATGGATCGCCGGGATGGAGATCTACTTCGCAGCCGTCGGATGGAGCTCGCCAGTCTGGGACGGTCAATGTGTACGACTCGCGGCGACACTGATGCGAGGGCCGGCACTCGAGTGGATTGGCGGCAACAGTACTTTCATCCACGGTGAAGCCACGTGGCAGCAGTTCCGCGCTGACCTGCTGAAACGCTTCGAGCCAATAAATTCCAGTTTCCTTGCCCGGGAAAAATTTCATCGACACCGACAGTTCGGGAGTGTAGCGCAGTACACGCAGCAGATGGAGGAATTTTATAACCGCATTCCCAAACTGACCGAAGGGGAAATAGTACAATCGTACCTCGCCGGGCTGAAGACCGAAGTCAAACGACAAGTCGCAGCGTCAAACTACGCGAGCTACAGTGACGTCGTTTCGGCAGCGGAGCGCTTCGACAAGGTCAACGCCGGAACACGACGGACGCACGTCGGCAGTACGCGACAGGGCGACCGCTTGGCTCAAACCACGTTCGCCGACCCGATGGAAGTCGACAGATTCGAGGGGCGGCCACGTCCGAAAAACACCAACTACACGTGTGATTTTTGCGGGGTGCCGGGTCATCGAATCTTCGACTGCAGCAAAATGAAAGCCGCACGCGCAGAGTATCAAGCACGCAACAGTGGCGGAATTCCTTCAGCCAATCAGAAGCAAAAAAACGGGAGTCGCCAGTAATTGCGAATCTAGCTGGCGAAAATAAAAAGATCCGAAAGCGGCCGCGGGATTCCGGAAAAATCAACTTCGACGAAGCTGATTCGACGCGAGAAGGAGGAAATGATGGGGGAAAATCTCCACCCCACGACCAGTCTTCGCCAGGGAAAATCGCCGAGGAAAAATACGACTCCGCGAAAAAAGACTCTGCCGAGACAGGGAAACTCCGAGAAGACCCAAGAAATTATAAGAATTCGTTAAAGTTATCTTATAAAGATGCTTTAATGAAAACTTATGATTTTCGAGGAGCCAGAGCCTTGGAGAAATTTCGGGAGGGACTCCAAAAGAAGCAGACAGCTGTGGAGATCATACCGGTACCGGACAACTTGGGGAAAAAATTAAGGAGTGTGGAAAGAAGCCGACCTTTCCACGGAGTCAACGTCCTCTCCCGACACCAGCCCACAACGACTACCCGTTCCCCAGGGAAGACGTCGGTGGAGCTGAAGCAGCTCAAGAGGAAGCTGGGGGTCTACAAGAAGCTGCACAAACCCCGAACTCCTCCTACGGATGCATCCAGTTCTTCGGCATCAATGACGCGCACAGTCGTCAGGGGAACTCCGGGCCCTGGAGAAGAGCCGTTCTCCAAGCAGCCTCGGCCAGCTGCCAGCTCAGGAGTAGATAGCAACACAAAGGTGTGTACGGAATACTGGGATGTACCCTATGACCCAATCAATGAAACTATCTTTGGGTACTCCGAGCAACGACTGCCCCTCGTGCTCGAGGTCATCTGCAAAGGACGACGCCTCCAAGCACTCGTGGACAGCGCAGCATCACACACCGTCTGCGACAAGGCAGTGATTGACCGACTTCGGGAAGAGTACAAGCCTTCAGGATTCTCTGCAACGATGGTGGACGGCAGCAAGTTACCAGTACACGGCGAAGCAGTGCTACACCTACAAATTGGACCACTGCGCTGGAGACCTGCACTCCCCATCACGAACATCAAGGGGCTTGACTTGATCTTTGGGCGAGACTTCCTAAAAAGATTCAACCCCGAGATCAACTGGGTGAACCGCACCGCAAGCATCTACAACAATGGACGGAGAGTACAGCTACCCAACTGGGACGATACAGGAGATATCCCAGTGGAGACACTCGCACGATTCGAGAAGGACGTAAAGCGAACCGACACCGGGTTCCTGGCGATAGCAACAGAGGTGGAGAATGACGGAGAGAAAGCCTCGGAAACTCCAGAAAAGATCAAGGAATTATTGAAGGAGTTCCAAGATATTCTTCCGGACGATCTTCCGAATGAGCTACCGCCATACCGAACGCATCAACACGAGATCGTAGAGGAACCGGGTTCGAAGCCGACCTTCCGAGCACCATATCGGCTCAGCCCTACAGAGCTGACCGACATGAAAAAACAGATCGAGTATCTCCTAGCCAAAGGACTCATCCGACCATCTACTTCGCCATACGGTGCCCCAGTACTCTTCACACCGAAACCGGACGGAAGCCTGCGCATGTGCATCGACTACCGAGCTCTTAACAAGCAGACCATCAAGAATAAATATCCAATACCGCGAATCGATGACCTGCTTGACCAGCTTCGGGGAGCTACGGTATTTTCCAAACTGGATCTGCGGTCCGGATACTGGCAAATACGCATGGCGGACAACTCTATCCACAAAACTGCTTTCCGAACTCGGTACGGATCGTACGAGTATTTGGTAATGCCATTCGGACTCACCAACGCACCGGCAACGTTCCAAGCCGAAATGAACCACATTGTACGACCACTTTTGGACGAGTGCGTGGTGGTGTACCTGGACGACATACTCATCTACTCGCGCGACATGAAGCAGCACGTCGAACACCTGCGACGCGTCTTCGAAATTCTTCGACGAGAACGATTCTACGTCAAACTGTCCAAGAGCGAATTCGCCCATGAAAAGGTCCAGTTCCTAGGACACATGGTGAGCGCTCAAGGAGTTCACGTCGACCCCAAGAAAATCGAGGCCGTACGCACGTGGAAGACACCCGAGAACGTGAAGGAGTTGCAGCAGTTCCTATGCTTCGCTAATTACTACAACAAGTTCGTGCCATAGTATGCGAAAATCGCAGCACCACTCACGAATCTGCTGAAGAAGAACACGCCCTATAAATGGGAGCCGAAGCACCAGGAAGCCGTGGAGCAGCTGAAGCAAGCACTTACGTCCGCACCGGTACTCATTTTGCCAGATCCCGAACGCGACTACGTCATCGAAGCTGACGCCAGTGACCAAGCAGTGGGAGCAGTCTTGATGCAAGACCAGGGGAATGGACTGCAACCAATCGCTTACCTCAGCAAGAAACTACACGGAGCAGAACTAAACTACCCGATACACGACAAAGAGGCCCTGGCTATTATTATCGTCTTCAAAGCGTGGAGATGCTATCTCGAAGGACGAAGAATAACCGTCTATACTGACCACTGCAGCCTGAAATACTTGAAGACACAACCCAACCTTTCCAGGCGGCAGGTCCGGTGGATCGACTTCCTCGAGACACACTTCCACTACGACATCGTGTACAAGCCCGGCCACAAGAACAAAGCAGACGCTCTCAGCAGGCCTGCACACGTTGCCGCGATTCAGGTCGAAGGGATGAATCCACTACTCAAGGGACTCTTCACACACGGGTACGCCATCGACCCCGAAATTCCCTTGGCAGAAAAGCGACATCTGCTACAGTGGGACAGTGACATCGCGTACCGGAAAGGATCAACAAAAATCTGGGTACCCAATTACCCTCCTTTGCGCCAGTTACTACTCGAAGAATACCACGACGTCCTCTACGCCGGACACTTCGGTAGCAACAAGACGCTGACCGGTATCGCAAAGCACTACTACTGGCCCCACTTAGCAGAAGATGTCCAGAAATTCGTCACCTCGTGTGATACATGTCAGCGGATGAAGAGCAGCAAGCAGAAGAAGGCGGGACTACTGCAGCCTCTTCCTGTCCCAGAACAGCCATGGCAAGTGGTCAGCCTGGACTTCATCACCGGGTTACCACCTACCACCAGCAGTCATTACGCAATCCTTGTCGTCATTGACAAGTTCTCCAAAATGGGACACTTCATCCCGACACACACGACGGCACGCACCGAGGAGATAGCACAGCTCTTCGTTCGTCACATCATCTCACAGCATGGCATCCCAACTACACTCATCTCCGACCGAGACCCCAAGTTCACCAGCAAGTTCTGGAAGGAACTTATGTCTCTTCTCGGGACCAAACTCGCCATGTCATCCGCATACCATCCGCAGACAGACGGACAGACCGAGCGCCTCAACCAAATTGTTGAGCAACTCCTCCGAGCAGCCTGCAAGGACGAGATCTCCAAATGGGACTTGCACCTGCCCGTACTAGAGTTTGCTTACAACAATGCTACGCATGCCGCTACTGGGCAGACGCCGTTCTTCCTCTGCTACGGACGCCACCCGCTCACACCACAGAAACCGACAGCATCAGCTACAGTCCAACCAGCACATGATTTCATTACAACCATGCATCAGCTTTGGGATCGGACCCACAAGCGCCTCCTTGACATTCAACAGCAACAGAAGCGCCAGGCCGATCGCCATCGCAACGACCACACCATCACGGTGGGAGACCAGGTGCTTCTTGACACCCGCAACCTGGACATCAACCATCTCCCATCTAAACTTCGACCTCGCTTCTGCGGGCCTTTTCTCGTTGAAGCACAAATCACTCCTGTTACCTTCCGCTTACGCCTGCCAGCTACCTGGAAGATTCACAACGCCTTCCACGTCCAACTTCTGAAGCCCTATCGGGACCCGAACACGATTTTCGTTGGACGCCAACCGCCGCCGCCACCGCCCGTCCTCGTCCAGAATGAACCCAAGTACGAGGTCGAGTCCGTGCTCGCACACCGCCGTCGTCGGAATGGCACCGTGGAGCTTCTCATCCGTTGGAAGGGTTATGATCCTTCTGAGGACAGCTGGGTACCTGAGTCCGACATGGGTAACGCCCGTCGTCCTCTGCATGACAACCTTGTCAAGCAGGGTGTTACTTCTACCACCCAGCTTTGAGGGGGGGAAGTGTGAGAACACGACCTCGTTACACCACTTGGCCTTTTCTTATTTCCTTCCTTTTTCCTTTCTCTTTTATTCCATCTCATTTGGTTTCCTATTCTTCCTTTCTCCATTACCCTTTGGTTTATCATGCTATTATAATTATATCACCGACCAGGCTTGGGATGTACTGGTGCGCTCTATCTAGCGTAATCCTGCTGTAATCCCTTAAAGCCAATAGCCTCGCGTGGCTATACGCAGGGTGATTCTATCTTCTAGAAGGGTCTATTCCCTTAGGATAAGATAAACCTGGTTACCTGATGTACTCTGGAAGTATAAAAGCGCCTTGTACTGATCGATAGTGCGACCTTTCCTCGACACATTCGATCCTGTGACACGGTACGTCTCCCCCGGACGCTACACTGCCTCACATTGGGGTGCAGCCAAGAGGGTGCTCCGCTATCTACAAGCCACCAAATCTCACATCCTCACTCTTGGTGGTACCTCTCCAGTCAAGCTCGAGGGATACACAGACTCCTCATGGGCCGATGACCAGACTGACAGACGCTCCTCCCAAGGGTACTGCTTCACCCTTGGTAGCGGAGTCATCAGCTGGCGCTCCACTCGGTCCTCTGCAGTCTCCCTGTCGTCCTGCGAGGCCGAGCTCTACGCAGGCACAATGGCTGCTCAAGAGGCACGCTGGCTCTCCTTTCTCCTCGCTGAGTTAGGCTACCCCCAGCAGTCGCCCACCCTGTGGTGTGACAACGAGAGTGCCATTCACCTCACCAAGGATCTTGTGTTCCACTCTCGCACCAAGCACATCGAACTTCGTCATTTCTTCATCCGAGATCTTGTTCAGAGTGACCAGCTGACGGTACGGTACATCGCCTCAGATTGCAACCTCGCCGACCTCTTTACCAAGGCTCTCGGCAAGGCTGACCACCATCGCCTTCTCCGTTCCATGGGGCTATGTGCTCCTTGACCGGGTTTGCAGTCTATGGGGGTGTGTTAGAAATAGACTACATGTACCACTTTTGTATTTGTACTTTTATATCCTAGTTTAGGTTATGAATGTTCTAGTGGGTTGGGGTGTACTCACAAATCCCAACCTCACCCAATTGTGATCCCCCCAATCTCCAATTACCCAATTGGAGATTCCGGAGATCCCAATGGGGATTCCCTCCAATTCCCCCTTCATCCATTCACTCTCACCTTGCCATGTACTTATGGAGCCTTGGGCTCCTTACCTAATAAAATCATTTCAACTCTATTTCTTACAGGCAGACCTTGGCTAAAATACCGGTAGCAGACCCAGTTGCCACTTGAACTTGGTGCATGAAAATCAAGGGTGCATTCCTACGCCCTCGGTAGTTAGTGCTTTCGTCACATTGCAATTTCGTGTTGCGGCCCCCTGCGACGCTCGTTCTACAGTTAGCGTTCATATATTAGGTGTATATGAACTGTAGCCTAGATAAGTGCTGTTTATAGGGAGTACAAAACCTATATACAAACCCTTCTTGCCCTTGTTTCAGTCACTTCATTCTCTCATCATGATATGGTATCATCGCTAGGTTAGGTCCTAGCCTCCGCAATTCCGCCCTTGGTTCTCCCCGCTCCTCTCTTGTCCTCGTCTATCGCCCTATCCTGCGCCCTAGTCTAGCGCCCTAGCCTGCGCCCTAGTGTCCCCTCCTAGCCTGCGCCCTCGCCCTTGCTCGCGCTCGCGCTGCCCGCTGCCGCTCGCGCTCGTGCTGCCAGCTGGCCGCCCGCTGCTGCTCGCCGCCTGCCTACTCGCGCCGCGCGCTCCCCATTGTGCGTGAGCCCGCGCTGCCCGCTGTATGCGAGCCCCCGCTGCCGCCTACCGCTGGCCGCCTGCCTGCTGCATGCCGCTTGCCGCCCCTACCTGCCTGCCGCTCGCCACTGCCACTGGTCGCCTACCGCTGGCCGCCTGCCGCCCGCTGCCTGCCACTGCTGCTTGCCTACTGCTGACTGCCTGCCGCTGGCTGCCTGCCGCTGCAGCCTGCCTGCCGCTCGCCGCCATCGCTCGCCACTGGCCGCCTGCCGCTGCTGCCTGCCTGAGGCTCGCTGCCGGCCGCCTGCCGCCCGCCACTGCCACTCCCTCCCTGCCGCTTGCCACTGCCGCTGGCCGCTTGCCGCTTGCCTCTGCTGCTGGCCGCTTGCCGCCTGTCGCTGGCATCCTGCCGCTGCCGCCAGTCGCCGCCTGTCACTGCCACTGCCGCGCACGCCGCCCCTGGCAGCTGCCGCCCGCTGCCCGCTGTGCCCTGCTTGCTGCCACCACCAGCTGCAGCCGCCAGTGCCTCTGCAGCCGCAGCCGCCAGTGCAGCAGCTGCTGCACCTGCAGCCGCCGCCGCTGCCGCTGCACTCGCAATCCCCAGCACCACCCCCCCCCCCTAGTGCCTCTGTCTCCGGCACCGCCGCTTGCCACTCGCCACCAGCTGCCTGCCCCACTGCCAGACGTGCCGCTGACCCTGTCGTTGGACCTGCCGCCGACTCTCCCACTGTCGCTGCTGTTGGGTCTGCCTCCGCTCACCGCCCCTGCCGACCCTCCACCCTGTTCAGGTAGGTCTGACCTCTGGTTTCCTTGCCAACATGGCGGCCCCGCCGGCGTCAGTGTTTGTCCTTCGGCTGGACGCCGAGGGACGTGCGGTGGGCTTCTCGGCATGGCTCCTTGCTCTCCACCGGCAGCTGATGAGCCAGCATGTGGACAACGTGTCGATGGAGGCCCACGTGACTGGTGGGCTGCCTTCCCCCGCCCCCCCGCCCTGCTGCTCTTGACCCTGAGGTGACGTCGGCGTAGCGTGCGGAGTACGCAGCTGCCAGGACCGCCCTCTCCGTCTGGTGGTCTCGCAACGTAGCTACGCTGGTGGCCATCACCTGGTGCTTGCCGGTTGATGAGCATGCCCACTTTGAGTCGCATGAGACGGTTCTGGCGCTCTGGAAGGCGATTGTCGCCTGCTACTCGACCTGGCCACCTCCTTTTCCCATTCTTCTTCCCCGACCTGGCCTCCTTCGCCACGGTCGCAGATCTCCTCCTTTTGGTACGCTACCGTGCAGCCTGCTCCGAGGCCCAGCTCCTCGCGCACCCCCTGCTTACCTTCGCCACCCTTTACTTCAGACCGCCTCGCTCCTGCACATGTCACCCTTCTTGCACTGCACCCCACTGCCCTCACCATCGACCTCCGATTCCCTGATGGCGGTCGAGATCCGCCTCTGCGCCATTGCCGAGTCCACTGGCGCAGTGGCGGCCCCTATCTTTGAGGGCTGCACTCCGACCAAGCTCCCCATCCCTGACACCTCAGCCGCTGTCGCTGAGACTGCGGCAGCCATTGCATCCGGCAGCACTGTTCGGTGCTCGCAGCGCCGTGGTGGCCGTGGGACCTTGGTAACGACTGGAGGTTGGGGCACTGGTGAGGCCTGAGGAGCTGACGGAGGAGCGGGTGCGGAGGAGGAGGAGGAGCAGCACCAGCCGCAGCAGCAGCAGCAGCAGCCACCACACCAACAGGAGCCACAGCGCAGCAGCAGCCGCCATACCAACAGCAGTCACAGCGGCAGCAGCCGCAGTGGGGCCCTGAAAGTTCTGGGCGTGGTGCGGGCCCTGGTGTTTTGACCCCGGGGCAGCCGCTGCCCTGGGCTTAGCGTGGCTCCTTCAGGGGCCAGGGTGGCGCGGGTTCTGGGGATACCGTTCGCTGTGTGAACCAGATCCAGACCGGCCCCTTGCGTGGCCAGACCTGCACGCGCATGGGTCACACCGCTGCTCAACATTTCTGCCGCCTGGATGATCTGTTCCGTGGTCACTTTGGGCCCCTGGTGGTCCTACCAGACTGGCCTAAAATCCACCGTGGCGTCCTAGTGTTGAAGTTAGAGATGGCTCAGATAGACTCTACCATGTTTTCCTTGTACTCTGAGAATTATAGTGTGTCTGACTCTTATTTTCCTGCTGTTTGGAGTCTTGGAACATCTGCTGTGTGTAGTCTGGGATCCTTTGTTATGTGTAGTCTAGGCTCCTCGCCGACCCCTGCTGTGGCAGCCCTCTCCTTCACACTGGACTTTGGCGCGTCTCGCTACTTCTTCTGAGACCGCATTGCACTCACATCGCATCCTGCACCGGTACCAGTCTCCCTTGCAGACTTGCCTGCCGCAGTCATCGCTCGCAGCACCACAGCTCTCCCCTGTCCGGCTGTCCCGTCCGACTCCCTTACCGGCTTGCATATCCCCACGTTCACCAAGAACCTGGTTGGTGTCGGTCATACTCAGGACCTCGGTGTCACCACCAGGTTCCCTGGCCACGCTAGATATGCAGCTTGTACGGATGCCGCCATAGGTGCCCGTCTCACTACCATTGACCGCGACCCTGCGTCCGATCTCTTCACACTGCATACGGAGTCCCCCCAAGTAGCCGCGTCCACCTAGGTTGCCACGACCTGGTCCTATCGCTCCCTCACCCACCCGACACTCTTGTGGCATCATCGCTTAGGTCACCCTGCTCTCTCTCGTCTACGTCACAGGGTACAGCACGGTCTAGTCAATGGTCACCCCATGTTCCCCCCCCTCCCTGTGTACACCTCTTGCATCGAGGGCTGGCAGCACGCCGCCCCTCAGTTGTTTCCTTCGACCACTTCTCCTCTACAGACTCTGCACATGGACGTCTGGGGCCCCGCCCCAGTCCAGGGGCCTCATAGGGAGCACTACTTCCTGGTTGTGGTGGATGACTTCTTACAGTTTACTACGGTTTTCCTGTTGGGAGCGTAAGGCTGACGTGCCTGACGCCCTCCTCCCATGGCTCCGCGCCGTCCGCACCCAGTGCTCCCTGCATGTGCTCCGTCTTCACCCTAGCCGTGATGGTGAGTTCGCCTCCGGTCGTCTTGATACATTATGCCGTGTGGAGGGCATCACCCAGACGTTCACCCTCCCGGACTCGCCACAGCAGAATGGGGTAGCTGAGCGACGCATCGGCCTGGTCATGGAGGTGGCCCACACCTCCATAGTCCATAACGGTGCCCCCCATTTTCTGTGGCCGTTCGCGGTGGGGTACGCGGCTCACCAGCTTAACATGTGATCTCGCTCCTTCCAGCCACAGGTTTCGTCGACCTTCCTCTGGACTGTGCCTGCTGGTGTCGCGTCTGCATTCCACGTCTGGGGTTGCCTGCCTCACGTCTGCGCCACCAGCGTGGACATGCTCTCAGCCCACACCCTCCCTTGTGTCTTCCTCGGGTTCCCGCTCGACACTCCTGACTGGCTGTTCTACCACCCAGTGCAGCACCGTCCCTTGACGAGTCCATCTCCTTCCACGGTGCAACACAAGTGTTCCCACTCGTCCACCATCTCCTTCGACAGTGCAGCACAAGTGTTCCCACCCGTCCCTGTCACAGCGCCTCCCCTCCCATCTCCCCCCATCTATGACTCGTTGTTCCCTCCCCCGGACTCGTCCCCGGCTCGTTTTTCCCCTCGTTCTCCTGTACCATCCCCTATTGCCCATCCGTGGGTGCATCGTCTCCCTGGTGGTCGTCCTGCCTCTTCTCGTGCTCGTGTCCACCCTGTGCTCCTTCGCTCTCATGCTCCTCTAGTCCCTGTCATGCCGTTACCTCCCCAATCGTCCCTACCGATGTCCTCTGCTCCTCTCTCTTACTCTGCTCGCACAACTCATCTAGTCGTCTCCCACTTGCTTGCCTTGCTTGTCACAAACCCTAGCGCTCCTCCTCGTCACTGCTGTTGCTGACTTTGGCACTAGCAACCGCCTTGACTACACCTCCGCTCAGGTCTCTGAACCTGCCTTTCCTCCGTCTATCGGAGGTGCACCTGCCCTTGGCACTGACGTTCTAGAGGATACGAGCTAGCTTTCCTTGCGGCTGCTGTAACTCATCTCTGCGGCATGCTTGCGTTTCCTGAGGGTGACCCAGATGCCCTGGACATCCCTACCTCGCGCTTGTATGCTGAGGCAGTCTCGGGGCCCTGGGCAGCCCAGTGGATACAGGCCATGGAGGTAGAGATGTCATCTTATAAATCCACTGGCACTTA